TTTTTTGCCAACTTTGTCGATAAATTTATTAGAGCATCTCCAACCATCCATGTTTTGGGATGGTATCTGCTAAAAATCCATCCATATAGCATTTGTAAGCAAAAAAACATGCTCCAACGGAGGAGCTAAATTATTGCTTGGCAGGTAAAATCAATACTCCACCAGCTAAATATACCATCTATTGTACATGAAAGCTAAATGATGATAATATTAAAATAATACATAAAAAGTACTATCCAGACCAAAGCCCACGTCTGACATTTTGTGTATTTGATTTATTTTCCTTTTGATTCTATAAATTTCATTTATTAGGTTTAATTTGTTTATTTAGGTAATTATATTCAATGTTTTTTTTTTTTGAAAAAATTATATTCAATTGTTTATTTATAAAAGACATGTGCCGTAAATCTAATTTTGACATATGAGGTTTGATTTTTTTTTTATTTTTTTTATAAATTATCAATGTTTGATTCATTATTAAATTTATAAAAGATATTTTTATATATAACATAACAAATACAATTTACAAATATTAATTCATAAAATAATTAAAAATTAATAAAATATAATAAAATGCTAAATTTTAAATGATATGATTGAAGTAGGATAGTAAAAATTGAGGTGGTATAACACTATTGATTAGCTAATATAGATATAGCATCTCCAATTTTACCTCTTAACCTTGGAGATGCCCTTACGAATCGTATTAATTAATTTGAATTTTTTTTTTCACAACAAAAATTGAATACCCTACTCCAAAACATAAACATAAACCACGTGAATATGAGTTAATAGCAGACAACCACTTATCATCGAATTTGGAAGTTGACTTTCATGAAATGACAAAACTGTCCATAGTAATTATTTAATAATATTTTAATTTTAACAACATGAAATGTAAAATAATTTACATTAAATATTAAAAAAATTAAAAATAATAAGAGGGTTTTTCATAAAATATGAGGGATCGAAGTGAAAATTTTGAAAACTTTATTTTAGGTTTATAGAAATTTTGGGGGTGGATCTGCAATGTTTTGAAATTGTTCAAAAGGGTATTTAAGTTGTTTCCGGTCAAAGAATACAACTCATTCTCAAAACCCGCGCGTAAAGCGCACGATAAGCTGTTCGGGAATTCATTAGCTTTTGACTAGTTTTCATAGGAGGTTCTTGCTAATATTTTTTTAACCCGAGAACTTTTTTAGCAATTAGAGATTACACAGAGTTCTTACAAAAAATTCCAAATTAAACCCAATAATAATTAAGAAGCGTTCTAAACAATATTACGGCAAGGAAATTAATTATCAAATAGTCAATTATACAATGCAAATTCTTGGGGGGGGGGCGGGGGCCACCCCAGTCACAAGGGTGGGTACGCCCCTATATATATATATATATATATATATATATATATATATATATATATATATATATATATATATATATATATATATTAGTTTTCACCCAAAAAAAACCAAATGACTGTTAAATTAATTAGGGGGAAAATATTGTCCCTCATATTTGCACATATTTCATATTTGGTCCATGCATGTACAAAAAAAATATATTTAATCCCTTATGTTTCAAAAATTCAACACTTTTAAT